ATTGAATGAATTAGAAAAGTATGGCCCTGTTTTGTTTGAATCACGTACTTTTCTTTTGCATTAAAACAATTTATTGTTAAAATGAATTTTTATCCTTTGGAGAAAAAATGTCATTAAAATGAGATAATAAATGTATATTATTTTAAAAACGTAAATGATTGCTTCTGCCTCGTGATTTGAAGGGCTTTAATTGGTCAAGTTTTTAGTCAGTTAAAATTTAGTCCTTTATAATTTTGTTTCAGGATTTAATCTTCAACTCTACGTTGTCACCTTAGAGTAAGTCACCACTTTGAAATTTCAGTGTCTTAATACTTCATCACAACATTATTTTGGGATCTGTTGCTGTTGTCGTAGGCTATTAAGGAAAGGGGGCAATTACTCTTATTTTATAGTGGCGCCATCTATAACCAAGAATTCGACTTTTGCCACACCCGTTTATAGGATGGACCCTTTCATACATACATTTATTCATCCACAGATCGTAATTTTGATCTGAACCAGGGAACGACAAATCTCCAATTCAGTACTCCAAGAGGTATAATTTGTTATGAGAACATGGAGGACTTTGTGACCCAACAGATTTAGCATACACCAGTCACCATTTACAACACAGGGAGACTTCGGCTGGATGGATTCGACCTTCCATACTCACGAACGTGAGTCAATCATCCTGCTAACCAAGCTATCCCGGCAAATTTTATGATTTTTAGTGGTTATATACTAATATTGCATCATATGTCTAAATAAATTAATGCTTACATTAATTTAAATGGTACTTGTTCAGGGTGCAAAAGGTTACTATGCTTGGTATAATACATACGGGTCACAACAATAAATAAATAAATTTATTAATTAAGGAATTATGAGAAAAGAAATTAAATTATTTTTCAAATGAATGCCATATGAAACATATTACTATAAATGATGCTTTGTCTTTTTAATTTACATGAGTAATAACTAATATTCTTACAAAAAAATTCTCTTGGAAGCATTTTTATTTAAATTTCCACCTAACGTTACATATATTACTGAATAATAATAACAACAGAGTATAATAGTACTAATATAATAATATTTAGTAAATAAAAGAAAAGTCTGTAACAGTAATGACCAGAAGAAGCTTTTAACTTCATAACCTCATTTTGGTAGATGCAAATTTCGCATAAGTGTACACCATTGCTGAAAGCTTGCATGATCTTTCAAGTGGCGCCAAAAGATTTGGCATGTAAAATCTTCCAAAACATTCGCTTCTAAAAGAAATGATGCGAAAGATGTTATATATGACTTCTGAATCTTGTTTAATCCCTTTGAATTCGAGATTATTTTTAGAATTACGAAAACGAACTCAACCACTGAGAGTTTTAAGACAAAACCCACCTGTTTACATAATTACTGTATAGCACCTCAAGGTTATTGAATAAAGTGGTTTCCAAAAATTAAAGAGTAAAAGCTTTAACATTCAGAGTGGAAAATAATTTATGGTGTCAGAGGCGAGCTTTCGAGTGCAGAGGGCTAAAAGTTATAACAAATGAACATAGTTGAAATTCAAAAAAGTGCAGTGGAAGCTAAAATTCTAAAAGAATTATCGTTCCCAATTTTAAACAATTCATCACTTATTTACTTTTTCCGGATAATAAGCAATCCTCACATGCTTTATTGCATTCCTATTATAGACAATACATATTTTTTAGCTTTGTAATTGCGAATCAAACTCTAAAAATAGATATCCTGCGTGTACTAACAAATTTAAAAATTTATAAAATTGAATGTGGTTTTTCAATTATTACTGTATATCATAGGAACTGAAAAGATGCAGTAAGGGTTGGCAGTAAGGACAATAAGGGCACGATTCCAAAAGCTAATAAGCTTACGTATTAAGTTTTGGATTCGAACAGCAACTGATTCTATTTTTAACTCTCAATGTATCTTTAACTCCACAAGGTTAATTTCCTTCTTGACAACAGAGCTCAACTCATCTTAACTTTTTAGCACATAAAAATTTGCTAGCATTGAAAAACTTCGAAAATAATACAATTTTCGCAGTTGTAGGTTTAACTTGTGGAAGTAAAATATCTCTATGTGTTTAAAAAAAAGTTATTGCCACCACTGTTTTAGAAAATTATTAGCGAGATTGGTTCTTACTATCATAACTCAAAAATTATAGGACGAAACCTTATGATATATTTCACATTTCTAGCAAAACGATTGAAGAATATTCAGGTATAAAAACGTTATTGATGCGATTATTATTTTTTCAGTAATTTTACGATAAAGTAGAAGATTTCTTTTTTGCGTCCCGTCATGTTTAGTGAAAACTATAACGTTGCAGTGAGTTTGTAAATATGGATACAGCTCGAAACGCGTGCTTAGGATAATGGACAAATCTCAAAAGTCGTGTTTACGAAAATGAACACAACACAAAATGCGTATCAGCAAAAATAGACACTCAAAATGCGTATTAACGAAAATAGACACAGCACAAAATGCGTATTAACGAAAATAGACACAGCACAAAATGCGTATTAGCAAAAATAGACACAGCTCAAAATGCGTGTTTAAAATAATGGACTCAGCTCGAAATGCTTATTTACGAAAATGGACACAACTAAGAAAAGTGACATAGTATTTGATTGTGTTTTTCAAACTTAGCTAATGAGTTTTGTTCTTTTTTAAATATGATACAAATAAAATCACTAATGAAGAATTCAAATAAATTCGTAATGTGATGTAGTCCATATGCGTAATTCACTTTGAACACTTTATATAATTAGTCTTTTTTTAAAAGGCTTTGAAAATCAGCAGTTGTCTTTTGCAATGTTGCCACGGGTCTATAAATTTATAAGAATGGTACTGAATTTGCTTTGTAAGAATTAAGAATTTTAACGCTCGCTTTATCTTTTAGTGTTCTGAATACGAAGACGTTGTCTGAAAAATTACATCTGTAATATGCCTAGTCACCCCGATTCTGAAGTCAAGGACTTTGCCCCGTTATGATTATCTTAGTGTTTAAATCAATAAGGAAAAGAAGGCACGTAATTCCTCGTTTAGTCATTTAATGTTAAGAATAAATCTGAAAAAGAGCCTTTTTTCAGTGTCCATTTTCGTAAACACGCATTTTGAGTTGTTTCCACACTTAAAATCTCCCTGACAATTAACTGGGTAATTAGGATTTTTTTTTTTTTTTTTTTTTTTTTTTTTTTNTTTTTTTTTTTTTTTTTTTTTTTTGCAGCTGCATACCCTTATGTCTGTATTTATTGACAAAAATAAAAGGGAAGCAGCAGCGAATTTTTGCCAAGGGGTTCATGAAGGTTACAGTTCCTCCCTTTCGTCACCAACGACCTGCTTGTAATAATGACGTCAGCATTGCGCACAAGTCGCCTTTACTTCATAGGTAAGCTAGAATCTATCGATCTAAAGGGCTGCAAGCAGCCACTGAGGATCAAACTCCAGTGGCCAACCAACCAATCAGTTTCGGGCCTTCCTCTCAGACCAATCGTTGCTCATTTACTAGAAAAATTATACATAAAATCGTAAATTCAGTGGTGGAATATAGCATATATTGAAAATATTAGCAACAAAATTTTTTTATTGAAGCAAATGAATTACATACCTATTTATAATTCGGTTAAATTATGAATTTCCTTCCCAAAAATGCTATTTTCCCCCTCCTAAAAGTATTTGTTCGAGGCGCCCCTAAACACGAACTGTGGTATGAGGAGGTTTTTAAACAGCACAAAAATACGCATTTGCTATTTTGATAAAATTCATTGCAAGAGATCTCTAGTAAATCAAAAATTAATTAAAAACAAGAACATTTTAACGCCTTTTTTATTTTTCTTGCGGTAGGCTTATTGTCTTTCTGAAATATGGAAATAGTGGTTTCGAAACCCACCATAACACTGGATATAGCTTAGTGATGACCTCCAGCTTGTGCTACCTGTTCCTTAAATTGAAAAATGTTTGTATAAAAAGTGTTTAAAATGGGCAAACAAGACTTCACATGTATGTGTACCAATTATCCTTTTATTGTGATAAAAAAACACCCTTTTTCTAATTAAGCATACTTTTCTGTTTTTGTTGATCGAACTCTTGATTATCAAATTATAAACCTTGTGTTGAAAATATTGCATGAATAGTTTAGTTGTTAAAAAACTGGGCCCAGTAATGTTGTTTTAACTTCCTCAGACTTTTAAACAAAAGTATTATTTTGATTGCTAGGAAAACAATCTTTTACTTTTAATTCTTCGATGCAATTCCTCCCTAAATGCAAAATGGTAATTCGACATGTAAAGCTGAATCAGTATAATATTTTACGCATTAAGTTCAAAATAAATTTGTGACTGAAATATTCTGAATACCTATTGATTTTAATATATTTTATTTCAAGCTGTTTTGAACTCAAAATCCCCAAAATTTAAAATAAATCTAATGAAAATTATTTTTATTTCAAAAAAAAATTAATTTTGATTAGGAAAACAACTTCTTGAACAGTTAGAAAGTGAGGTTTTCGCTATTAGTACTACAATAGTTTACTGAAATAGATCAATAGTAAAATTGACCGATTTGAAGTAAAAAATATATATATATTATAAATATTTCTTAATTTAAAGAAATCACAATATAATTTTCTGTATTCATGCTCCGTCTTTTTATAAAAAAATAATTAATTTAAAGGAACAATTATTTAACTCACACTTCTTATTTCATATAACAAAAAAAAATGCCTTTGCCTCGGGTAAATTCAGCCTATGAAACTACTGCTCATAAATTTATTTCGGAGAAAAGTACTAAAATGATTTTATTACAATCATTAATTTAAAAGAATTAACTATGCATTAGTCAAAGGAATGTTTTATTCCGGGTTCGTCCTCAAATTATTCTCGTAATTTAGTGCTTTTCAGAACTGAAATTAATTTCGATCCCAGATCAGAAAATTAGGGTTTAATAACACTTTTATAGTTGCACAAACTGAATAGTGAATAATAATAACCTTGACATACCAATGTAAATTATTTGACGAAGATCAACATACTATAAAACAGATTGAATTCACTGGAATTCTATGAAGCAAATGTGCGACTAAGACACAGCTAAAGTGCCATCTATTGCCAAGATGAGAAACTAAAATAATAGAAGGGAAATATATCAAATTTTATGTGTGTGAAAAATAAAGAGCAAATAAATTGAAGCTTTTGTAATTTTTAAAAATCAAAAATGGTGATCATGCTTTGTATTATCAAATCTATTTGGAACGTACAAACGTCAAATTTCTATTTTTAAAATCCCTAATCCACCGAAGAAAAAAAACTGATAACTTTTTATAAGTATTTAACAAGTTAATTAGACTGATTTACTTTATTGTATTTAGAATTTATCCTGAATAATAGTAAATATTTTTATTCATTATTTATTTTGATAATATTAAAATCTAAATCCTTTCTAATCATTTACTTGATATGTATTTCGAAACGAAAATGGTAGCTAAATGCATAAAATATCTCAAATTTAATCACATATATATTACCACTTTCTTATGAAGGTCTTGAAAGTCCGTCAGGTAAAGGGTTAAGTATTTATTGTAAAACAAGTATTTATTGTAGATAAGTTACTTAATTTTTTTCTCAATTTTTTAATAAAAAATAAGGATTCTCTGAATTCATTTGTAACTGCCAGAGTTGCTAACTTTTCCTGTTTGTAGCATATGAAGGGGTTGTAACTTTGATGTTTTAAAATAGTTTTGTCCACCACGACGTCTAACTAAATCAAAGGTGCAAAAGAAGATTTAAAGAGTTGGAGTAATTGCAACTTCCTATTAAAAATAAAATAATGCTACTAGAATTGTGATATTTTTCGCCTAGATTTGAATGAAATGATATATTTTAATTACCAAGGCATTATAACAATTAAAGTCATAATACTTAGTTCTACAACAGCTTACAGAGCTATTTTCAAAATAAAGTAAAATCTAAAATATAAGTATTTTGTTGTTGCTGTTGTGGTAGTCCATTAAGGCAAGGGGTGCGATTGTTCTTGTTTTCCAGTGCGCCTGCTATGGCGAAGAATTCGACCTCGGCCACACCCATACGTCACACCCGTTTATAGGGTGAACCCATTCAGTCATTCAGTCACAGATCGTAATTTTGACCTGAACCGGAAAACGATCAATCTCCAATTCAGTACCCCCAGAGGTTTTCTTTGCTATGGGAACATGGAGGACTTCGCGACCCGACAGGTTTAACGAGCACCAGTTACCATTTACTACACATGGAGTCTTCAGCCGGCTGGATTCAAACTACCGCTCAAACAAACGAGAGTCCAGCTCCCTGCCAACCAGGCTAACCCGACCTCATTAAATATTTTATTAACTTTAAATTAATTAAAAAACTTTGTTTGTTAGTCTAAAGTAAATTTACAATTTTTTTAATTTTTTATAGGACGTTGCTGCAAATAAAGTAAGGAATTTTGGAAATAAATTTATTACGTGTATCAAATTAATCGAAAATTGTTTTGACCATCTACTTTCTGATACTGGAATAATGCATGATTATTTTTAGAAAAGTAATAATGATAATAAGAAATGTTTAGTTAACTCTATGACGCTAAGCACAGGTGGTGCTAACTAATTCATACTAAGACTTCCAGGTTTCTACTTCCGACTTAATTTCATGTCCAAACTTAAAAAACGCGCCATTCTCTATTTATCATGTAATTTGTAAAATTGAATAACTTTTGCTGAAAACATAAAAATTAGAATAACTCTTGAAACAAAGCAACCTTTACACTTTTTTATGTTATTATATTAATTTCCATAAATCAATTTTTGATTCACAACCTTCTAGAACTTATACAATTTAAGAAAGCCATATGAATGGTTTAATTTCAATCGCAGTGATAAAACTTAATAGAAAATAAGACTTTTTGCCTTGTTCACATTATTGTCTCGTCAACCAAGGCTGAAAGCATATATATATCGAATCAGAAAGGAGCAAAAATTGGTAAGTAAATCATCTAATTATAGCTTGTTTTCGTTAAACTTAAAATATCTATATTATGACCAAGTTTTATTTTTTACTGTTATAACACATATAACACCTGATAAAAAAGTAAATATGTTATGAACAGATTATAATTACCACAAACTAATTTTACTCCCCACGAAAATCAATTAAATGAATAGGTTTTACTATTAGATGTCCATTTTATCCGACTTATTTCAGCCCTGCTGCGAATACAATATCAGAAGTGGAATAAACAGGCAGTTTTCACAATTCCATTCAATTTGCAGAATCTGGTTATTATTTATACTTTGTTAACCATCCATAAATTTTCAACTAATATTTCAAAAAAAAAATAGAAATTTACATCACGAAACTTATTTTAATGATCAAAAATGTAATTAGTATATGGAAAGGAAACCAATTTATAGATTGTTTAGCTAAATCCAAGCTCTTAAAATCAATGTATCCAAACCTTAAAATCAATGTAAAATACATTAATTCTTTGTCTCATGTTTACTCATGTTCAGTTCTTTGTCGTTAGATAATATACTTAGTAAAAATAATGTTTAAAAAGTAAATTAGGACAACTTTTATATAAGAAAGAGTAAATAATAAATTTTGAAAAATTAGTGAATGAAGGAATTAAGTAGTGAAATCAAAATTGATTTTAAATGCACAAATATTTTATCAAAAAAGTAAGTTATATGATTAATTTAACTGCAGAAAATTTTTTAATTTATTTAATAATTTTTAATTGAACTATTCTTTTGTCTCTTTCTTCCAGTTGTAAAAAATCTGATCATAAATCAGTCCCCCAGTGGATCGTAAGGACTCGTTTACCAGTAGAACACCGAAGTCAAGCATCACTGGCTGCGGTCAGTTAGCACGTGGGTGATCACTTTGATCAGTCTACGTAGGGACACGGGATGCGCGGTATCGGTCGTCGTTAGACAATACGACCGTAAAGTGCTAAGACTTCGCGAGAAAATCGTCGAGCTACCGAAGCGAAGGAGCCACCCCCTCTGCAGAGGATCAAAATTGTAATGGCTTGTCTTCGGATCATCCTTGAGGACGTTTCCCATGGATGGGTGCTCGTGTAAAGCTAAGGGTGGTGCCGCTAGCGGTAAAATTGCTCTTTCAAGACTTCCGGGTTACTACTTCCGATATATTTTTACGTCGCAGATTGAAAAAACGCGCCATCATATTATTGCATCATATCTTTTGCAGTATTTCACATGTACCGAGTTCTTTCTTTCAGCCCTTAAACTTCAGCATTATCATATTAATATTATAATCATTAGAATATTTTCTAATTAGGCTAACTTAAAAAGATATTTTTAGAGACATTTTATTCAAATGCAGCCAAATAAGGGATAAAATACAAAACATGGCAAACCTTAAGAATTATTCACTATGAGATATTACTTTCCAAAATTTTTTTTGGCCTTACGATCGCTGAGAAGCAATACATTTCTGAAAGCTCTTATGAATGGTACAATTATGTTTAGATTTGAACCCAAATTACAATAACAAAACTGCATAGAATATTAGGCTTGTTCACACATCGCCTCGTAGTCATAACATAAGCGGAGGGATACACCGGAAATTTTCTAAATTTCTTCCGGTTTAAGGACGCTTGTAATTGTTTACATTCGATCACCCATCCATACTGTAACCAATAGCCCATTGAGCAGCTCTAATGCGACGTAAATAGAATACCTACCTATCTGATCATAAACCAGGAAGAAGAAAAAATTTTTGCGTAAAATGCATTGAAATTTTCAAGTTTGTTTTAATATAATAATATATTTAAAAATAATATATGGATGGTGTTTTCTGCACTAGGGAGCGCTGCAAGCTCGGGACTGCCTAAGTTTCCGGGTTACTGTTTCAGTTGTATTTTAAAGCCATTTGGGCCAAAAGCATGAAACCGGTCTCTCCCCAGATGGCGTATCCGAGCGTTGCGATCGCTAATAAGAAAAGAATTAGTTAAGGAAACTCTCATACAGAAACACTATTCCATACCTGCCAACTTTCACTCTTTCCGAGAATGGATTTTCAGAGTGGTTGTAATACGATTAACGAAAAACAATCGGACTCAAAAATATATCTATATTTTGATTCCGTTGAAATTCACTTGCGAAAGGATTATTATGCTTTTATATATTTATTGTAATTATTTATATGCAGTGGTTGTCAAACTAATTTATAATTATCATTATAATTCAAAAAGTTAATTGGAATAAAGTGGGTATTGCTACCACTTTAAATATAAAAATAAAATCTTCCGGAAAAGTTGGCAGGTATGTATTCCATGGTTTTTATGGCAACGGAACTATTAAGTGACGTACTTTGCTTATTACGCATTCAATGAGATCTTTATGGATTTGGCCATCGTGGTTTCGTTATCAGTAGCCTAACTTCTCAACTCCTCTCGACCGCGGTTTGCATCTGTTTTGTTGTATTTTGATCGTGCACGTTTTTTACGTTCAACTAAAAGCAGAAAGTTATACAAAAAGTTTTAAGTACCATAATATTGGATTAAAATAAATTTCTACAAAATGTTGGTTTTGTTTGAGACTTCTGGCGGATATGCCGTATTCAAAGTTCGTAAAGAGAAAAAATTACGAGATGTTGAAAATATTTATCAAGAGCACGTAGAGCCGGAAAAAGCCCACAAATTGCTTGAATTGAAGTTGTTTAAAAAGTATGAAGATATGGAGGAAGCCATCGAAGCTGCAAATCAACTAATCGAAGGGAAATTGGTTAAAGGTATGAAGAAAAAGTTAAAGAGTCTTTTAAGTGAAGTTGGAGCTGATGAGCTGGCCGTTGCCGATCCCAAACTTGGTAATTCCATCAAAAAGAAGCTTGAAATCAATTGCATCACCAACAACACAGCCGTCAGTGAGTTGATGCGTGTTATCAGATTACATTTTGATAGCTTTATTGAAAATTTGCCGGAACGTGATACAGAAGCCATGTCTCTTGGCGTTGCTCACGGATTGGGTCGTTATAAATTTAAATTCAGCCCTGATAAGATTGATAAAATGGTCATCTCTGCAGTGAAAGCTCTTGAGGATCTTGACAAAGAATTAAATAATTACATCATGAGATGTAAAGAATGGTATGGATGGCATTTTCCTGAACTGGTTAAGCTCATTAATGATAACCTTACATACATTAAGTTTGTTATTAAAGTTGGAGATCGTGACAACACAGCAACCATGGATCTTTCCGATCTGCTGAGTGAGGAAGATGATAAAAAAATCAAAGCTGTAGCTGAAATTTCCATGGGTTGTGAAATGGCAGAAGATGATTTCCGTAACATACGAGGCATGTGTGATGAAGTGCTCAAGCTGTATGAGCTACGTTCCAATCTTCAAGTGTATCTGAAGAATCGTATGACAGCTCTAGCACCTAATGTAGTTTCCCTAGTTGGAGAAATGGTGGGAGCTAGATTGATCGCACACGCCGGTTCGTTGGTGAATTTAGCGAAACATCCTGCTTCTACTGTGCAAATTCTCGGAGCCGAAAAAGCTCTGTTTCGTGCTTTGAAATCACGTCACGACACACCAAAGTATGGTCTTATCTATCATGCCCAAATGATAGGACAAAGCAAACCCAATGTCAGAGGTAAAATTTCTCGTATGCTTGCAGCCAAAACTGCTCTTGCTTGCAGAGTCGATGCTTTTGGTGAAGAGGAAATCGAGATTGGTGTTACGGCTCGTGCCAAATTAGAACGCCAATTAAAATTGATAGAGGAAGGACATAGTATGCAAATTAGTGGTAGAGGTAAAGCAAAAGCTAGGTTTGAAAAGTATGAGAATAAAAGTAAGGTATTCCAATATAAGGACTCAAGTGATTCGTTTTTAAATGAATCCACTGGATCTGTTGGACAAAAAAGGAAATTTTCTGATTCACACCAAGAGTCTAAAAAACCAAAAGTAGAAGTTAAGGAAGAAGAGGAGGAGGAAGAAAGTGATGAATAGTTGTTGTATGGTTGGGAGTGAAGAAATTCCAGAACTATCTCCATATTTTATGCCATATATGAGTCATTTTTTTGTTAAAGTCAACCAATTTTAAATTTTTTATCATCATTGCATTCATTACTCAAATAATATTGTGAAGCTGGAATGTATGTATTGTTAAGAACTGTTATAAATTTGGTGTTAAATTGAATAAGTTTTGCATTTTCCTAGTCTTTTTAATTTTTTTTTCTTATACTTTTAAACTATGAATATTTTGTAAGGATTTTTTTAGCTTATCAGAGTATCATCAGTATAACATTAATCATTAAAACTGGGTTTCTTCGTTTTTGTGTGTTTGCCTCCTATTGTTCAATTTATTGATTAGCCTTATGTTAAATTGTTAATATTTTATTTCAATTTTAACTGAAACAAATAATTTAGGCATTTTATATCCAAGCATATCATATGTGTGGGTATATTATATTACCCTATTAGGTTTTAGACTTTAATCTTAATATATTATTTCAGTTTTTATTATTACTGTAAACTTACCATCAGGTTTTTTTTATCGCATAGTAATAGCCAGTTTTTATTTTAAAGATTTGTTATAGTTTTAAAAGATGTTGGTGACACTAGATGTCTCAAGGTTTAGCTTAATTAATTAGATTTTGTAAGCATAAAGAAGGTGAGAACACCATTTTTTTTCTATGCTAGAAGCAATATATAATAAGGATTACTTGCTGAATTTCTAAAACAGTTATTGGGGTTGCCAGACAACATTTTAAGATGTTATTTTATCACTTAAATTATTGCCTTGATAAAAACTGCTGATTGATTCTAGTGATTGGCTATGATTAAGATCCGGGCTTCAAAATGGATTTCAATATGCGAGATCATTTCTTGATCGATGGAATACTTTGATTATATCTTTTAGCTTTTATTATGATAAAGTTTATATTTATAATAAGATTTAAATTTCATTACTTAGAAATTACTTTTAGCATGAATTACTTGATTTATATTTAAAAAAGATAATTTTAAAAATTTTAGCAAGTTTATGATAATCAATGCTTGTTTAATAGTTAAAATAGTATTCTTTTTAATTTGGTGTAAGAGATTTTTACTGCTTGTTTTGAAGAATTAAGTATAAATCGTGTTAAGGGTGTTATTATTACAAATATATCTTTAAGAAATAGCATTTTAGTGTCGTTTAAACACAGTTATTTGACAGGGTTTTCAATACAACATACAATGCACTTTATTTTAATTATCTCGATTCCGCATAGATTTCTCTATTTCTTTTCAGCATCTTTGACATGCATTTTTTTTAATGTATTTTTTTTAAAAATAATTTTAAATCACTTGAATTAGTTAATAAAACCCTTGAGAAAAAAACTTATAAAAATCGAACCAGTTGAGGATTATCCTAACAAAATAAATATTTGTAATAGTAATCTGAATGAAACCTATAAAAACAGATAATTTTGCCCCCTGTGGCAGAATTTTTTCGGTCTTTCTGCGACAACTACCCTGGCATTAATAATATATTTTTCTTTAAGATAATTTTAATTGTAACAATTGCTAATTTAAAGTAACAATTTTTATTGTAAAAGTAATATTTCTTTTAATTGTAATCAGGGGTCTGTCCAGGCCGAAAATACTACCGTTTAGCGGTACCTTCACAAATTCAATTTTGGAAAAACGGTGGTTTCACAAAATACTTTTTCTTAAAATTTCACTTTTGTATCCCTTAAGAAACGATAAATCCATATTTTTGTGTTGATTTTTTAATATAATTTTTAATTTTTCACAAATTACGTCTAAATTTTCACAAAATAGGTACCTGTCAGAAAAACCTAGACAGACCCCTGGTAATATTATAGGCACTTTCTCACATTTTGTAGGTGGAGAAATGCCCTAATTATTTCCCCTTTCTAATTTTTTAAATCATTACAAAATTTAAAATTTGTACGTAAATTAAAAGTCGTAAAATCCATGTAATAATTCCAAAATAAAGATCGACTACAAAATCATGCGAATAGGACTAAGATCTTTCTGCAAAAAACTCAGTAACATTCTGCGACAATGTCGTCGTGTCACCGCAATTCTGCCACTGGGATTCAGTGAATTAATTTATTTTTACAAAAAGATCACCTAAGAGGGCAGGCCGCTCTTCAAAGAATGCTTAGGATGTAGGGGTGTAACGAATACTTCGTTGGCAGAATATTCCGCAAATTATTATTTGGAAAAATATTTTTCAACAAAGTTTGTTTGGGAAGAAATTTTAATAGATTTAATTAAAAAAATAATATATGATCAGACTTATACCTACACGTTATTAATAATTGTTTTTACGCATATTTACTTAATTTCTGAAACTTGTTAATTTATGTTCTGAAAGACACATGGAATAGTGAAATTAGAAGGATTGATACTAGATTACTTTATCATAAGTTTTGTTTTATGTTGATTTTTTTCTTTAATTATGTTCAGGCAAGTCAATTTCACTGTTTTTTCAATACTTTGTGTTTTTAAAATGACAGAACTTTTTTTTCATTTTTGCTTTTTCTGTTTTAACTAAAGCGCAGTAATTTTTCTTTTTATCAGCATCTTTTAAATAGTGTATCTAAACAATGATATTATTTTACGTTCACTTTTTTCTATAAATACGGCGTTGTAAAAGGTTTTTAAGATTTTTAGTGTTGAATCTTTCGTTTAAAAGTTAAGAACGTATTTTATTTCGGTTTTTATCTAACTTTTTCTTTTAAAAAAAAAGCCAAAGGTTTTAAATACGTCTTTATTGTGATATGGCAATCAAGAGGGTTTCTATTGGACTTAAATGTTCACTTTTTCTTGAAAATACAGTAATTGGGAAACTAAAATGTTTAGCTTTAAAAAAATTTTCAGAAATGAAGATCAATTTTTATTATTTCTGCTTTGCTTTTGAATATAATCTTTATTTTTTTAGTCATTTTTATTATAGTGCATTTTTAAAAGTGTTCCTGATAGAAATATTTCTTGTAATGTTTTATGTATAAAAAAGTTTTTCAAAAAAATATTATTTTTAGCATTAAGGTTTTGTCTTAAGAATGTAGAGGATTTTTTTTTAACGGTTGTTAGTCAAGTTTTTTTTTTATCTTTATATTTCTAATTTTCTTAGTTATCTTATACATTTTTATTAGTTTTTTTTTTTTACTCCCTTTACAAAATTCCCAATGACACAGCTAAGTTTTGATTATTTTTTAATAATGTCTAAACTTATTTCTATATAAAAAAAATATGCTGCTCTTAGGCCGAACATTCTGTATTTGGCCATATCACTTTGTTACATCTATTTTAGGGAGAACACGGTTGGAATAAAAAAGATCTTACTTGACTCTAAGTTATAAAAAACATATTAAGATAATATCAAAGGTGCTAATTTTAATGATTTATTCATAATTATTATGATTACATGGTCAAGATTTTGGTCTTAGTGTCTCATAATTAAAATTACAGTTTCTGAAAACTTTCGTAATAATCTGTTTTAAAAAATTTTTGGAGAGAGTTTGGAAATTTGTTATCTGTGGTAATTTTTTCTACTCCTTAAATCAATCAATAGCAATAAATAAAAACTTGTTAATCAAGATTAAGCAACAAAAAAAATCATCTTTATTCATTCTAACAAGAGTTTTGTAATGTGGAATTAAGTGGTAAGCACATCTTAATTTAAACTTCGTTAACGATAACTGCATATGTTTGTGTTATGATATTTCTGATTACGGGTAGCTAGTTAGGAAAAATGGCCCCTCTGTAATATTTACATAGCTTTTCTTATTAACCATCTTAAGAGTAAGATGTCTTATATGATTCCCTTAGTATAAATATTCCATTCAAAATACATGTCTTATATGTTTGTCATAGGTGGCTCCATGATCACCGATATGTTTTTGTCAAAGTTACAAAACTTGAGTCATAATCATAAATAATTGTAATGATTAACTGCTAATACTGGTGACAGATTATTTTCATCATTTTTGAAACCAAATCATTTAATGACAATTGATTTTAAAAATATTGGCAATCCCACAATTGTTTTATAGTCCATTCCACCTTAAGTTGGCACTGCAGGGAAGGGTAGGAAATGTAATATTCCGCCTTTGAAAAGTAGTTCTTCACTATTTTGGAATTAATTGCAGTTTAAATGCGCATACAAATATAAATAAATGTTGTATAATAAGAAAAGTTTATCTTGAAACATGCATTAGAAGTTTTTCATGTTTAAATGTATTTAACTTATAAACACCTTCATAGTAAAGCGAATGTACAAAGAAGAAGGTGTTTTAGTTTGGCACTGGATCAGTTTTCAAGGCCAAGAAATTTGCGCATTGGCTATGTTTATACACTGGTCAGCCAGCTCTTTCCATTCTCCTTGCCTTTGCTTAAGTGTCCTATCTCTTGTGCAGTTCTTATTTCGCTTTCTTTTTGTATTTGATTATTTAATTTTCTAAATATTAACCTCATATGTGCAATATTCAATTGAAAAATATTTTTCCTTCAGAATGAATGAAAAAAAAAACCCACCCAAATAGACAGGTGAATATTATTAAACTGATGACAGTTGAGCATATTTGCTGTGTAGCTAATTCAATATGTGATTTTATTATTATTTTTTTACGACAAAAGTAAAAAATTTTTTAGCTTTATTCAATCTCTGTAAAGATTCAAATTTTGTGTCTTTTGCGCCATGTGTAGCTCTAAAGTACAATTTGCTTTTTATAGAAACTTTAAAAATGTGAATGCAGAAATTTAAGATTTTGAGTTTGTTTAATTAAAGGGGCTTTTAAATATTATCTGAAATACAAATTACATAATATAAGTGTGCAAATCCGTTAGTTATAAACTAATAAAATGTATAGGAATTTAAATAATTTCAAAAAAAGACATTTGAATCATTAATTTTTTTTAAACATCGAAAGGTTAATTTAAACCAATAAATATTTTAATTATTATTTTTAAAATACAGAGCCAAAAAAACCGAGAAATTCTTTTTCTTACGTAGAAAATGTTGATATTTCAGTATCTGACAAAATATTTCGAGACTAACTAATTCTACTATACTTAAATAACTAATTATACGGATTTTTCTCTTAAGCCTCCTTTCACCCGAAAAGATCCTGAAAAGTAAAGGAAGGTTCTGATATTTTAAAGTATGTATTTTCTTTTGAAGAAATGCGTCTAACCACCCAAGTAGAATTTCTTCTGATGAGAAATTGTGGATTGAATTCAATTCAGGGCGACTCCACAAAGAGTTTGCAGAAGGAACTGTCAAAATATTAAATGAATAACATGATAACCATCAGGATAGGTGGTTATCATGTTATTCAAAGATTTCCTGTTGTGTCTAAGACGGTGGAATATGGCAGCTGAAAACATGGGGGGGGGGCGTACAAGTAGTGTCTCTTAGAAAAATATATTTCAGAAGAAAAAAAATTTATAGTAAAAAAAAAGAAACTTTTCTGAAAAAGAATTTGCATTTTTTATTTATAAAAAAGAGAACAGTAAATATTAAAAAAACTCAGGTATGATATGGAATAGACTATAGGCTCCATCAAAGATTTTTTTATAAAAATTTCATAAATTGAAAAATTAATTTTTACAGAAACTATATTTTATATTCAATATCAAAAATATTTAAAAACAATTATGTGCAAAAATTTGATAAAGTACTAATATTTTCATAAATTAAAACATTTTGAAAAAATATTAAGAATCTACTTACTGCAAAAGTATTGTTTTTATAAATTTAAATTTTTTGAACAGGCTCTATTTATAAGTTTGAATTTTAAGAAAGGACTCTAAGATCGATAAGGAGCCATAAATCAACAATTTGTGAAGCCTTGGGCTGTGTAAATTACACAAGAAAAAAAAAACAGCTTATGTCTTTTTTTGATGTTGCATAACAGATATGAATTATGACTTATTACATGGTTCTTAAGAACTGTTTGATTTTTATTTTGGAAAATAGGAGGCTTTATCTACTGCATTATGAACTTCTGAAAATTTTTTCATAAATATATTTTTTTTAGCTGCCTTATTGATAATTAAAGAATATACAAGAAAAAAAATCTCCCCAGTGCGAAATTTAATTATTTTAAAGTGTTGTAGTTAATTTACGTTGCACTAGAGCTGCACAATGGGCTATTGGCGACGGTCTGGGAAACATCCCTGAGGATGATCCGAAGACAAGCCATCACAATTTTGATCCCCTGCTTCGGTAGCCCAACGACCTGCACGCGAAGTCGAGCACTTTACGGTAGAACAGTTTAACGAGGACCAATACCGCACACCCTCGGTCCCTACGCAGACTGATCCAAGTGGTCATTATTTTACAGTGATTGGTACTGTTAGTAGATAAAGGGTCAAAAGCACTTAATTTTGGTTCAACGTTTTTAAGTCCTTAATTTTCAGTATCACTATAGTTGATAAAAAATCATTTTCAATCTTACAAAGTATTTAAAACAAAAAGTTTTTCTGTTATCTAGAATTAAACCATGCATCGAGGGTTGAGCTGTGTTAAAACAGTTGGAGCCCTGGATTACTATTATTTATGAGTTAAAATTACTTTTTCATTTACTGGAGAATGATGGTCATATAAGCAGACACTTTTCTTAGTGGTAGGTCTCTATGAATATGTAGCATCTATGAATTGAAAGGTAAGTTCAACCATGTTATGCCGCTTGCACAGGTTATAATATGAACTCTGTAAACGGTTTGTATTTATTTTCCATAGCAAATTGAAAGTGATTGTTATTGTAAACCATTAAGTCCAGGGGTGCCATCTATGGCTAAGAATTCGACTTCTGCCCCACCTGTTTATAGGGCAGAGCCATTCGTTCATCCGTAGATCGTAATTTTGACCTTAACCAGAGAACGCAGTCTCTAATTCAGTACCTCCAGGGGTATTTGTTATGAGAACATGGAGGACTTTGTGATCCGACAGATTTAACGTGCACCCGTCACCATTTACTACCCAGAAAGTATTCAGCTGGCTGAATATGAATTCACGAACACTAGTCCAGCGCCATGCCAACCAAGCTATCCCGGCCCAATCGAAAGTTATAATTTTATTACAATTGCACGCAGGTTTTTGTTGTTTATTCACTCCAGAAATACGGAATTTCAAAGTACCATTGAAGAGCCTGAAATTCTACATAAAATTTACTCTCAGCACAACTAAGCTTTTAGAATATCAGCAATTGGCATTGTTATTTGTCATGACATCACCATAACCCCACATAATATTAGGATAACCATTTTTGAAAATAATTCCAGTCTAAAGCCTTTAATAAAATTAATAGTATAACATTTTGTCAATAAATATTAAAGGAATTAAAAATAATTTTTAAATTTTTACGATTATAAAGATTAGTAAGTTCTTAATTAAATTACAAATATTTTAATTTAATTTATGAAAATTTTTTCCCTTTGGAGATTTCAGGAAATTTGATTTTGTCTGAAAAAGAGCCATTCAGTTATTGGTGTTTTTATAAAGAATTTGATTTTTCACATGGCATAATTTGAAAAGCGTGATCTCAATTTTTAGAATTTATCATTCATTAGTCAAATTAACCTTTTAGCACTTCGTTGTCACCCCTGAGTAGACATCCTAAGTCTCCACTCTAAAACTTAAAAGTTGTATACCTTAATAATTAGTCGCCATATTATTTTAGAACAAATTTTATGAATCTAAAAAAAGTCAATTTTTTTAATTTTTCTTTCTCAATAATTATAAATTTATGAATAATTTTTCATGTTTTCAAAATAAATGCACTATCCGAAACAATTGGGTAACTAAGGAGGCATTTTTTCCCTATAAAATTTAATTTAAATCATTGTTCTTTATAACTCATATAGGGTGCGAATTAAGAACATGCATTGTTTTTTATGTTTCCTTTACTTGTGTCAAACGAATTCACACAACTTAAGGGATGTAATCTTACTATTATGTTAAAATATAGATCTGTGATAAAATTCCAAGTTGGGAATTATAGTATGTGTCAAAATGTTATGGTAACATCCGGACTTCGCAAACTCTGTCATAGTTGCGAGTCTAATGACAAATGTTTAATCATAGTAGTTTTTTTTTAAGAAATCATTCTTTAGGTACTACAAAAACATTATTACATGTATTATAATAAAATTTTTACGAAATATAAAGTTCTCACCTTATTCTAAACTCACAAATTTACCGTCAATTATCAAATAACGGTCACAAAAATAATCTGAAATTGCAGAAAATTCCTACATATTAATTTGAGATCGGTCGGCTTTTAACACATTAATGAAAATGAATCTTTTTTTTTTAATCATTTCATAAAATGTTGAAAAACAAGATAAAAATTAAACCGATAAACTTGATAAGACTAATTGTGGAAAGAAAAAATATTCCATATCGATTGTTTATTTATTTGTAACAAAAGTGTAAAATTGCATGCATCACACGTATTTCCGCATTCCTAATAGATTAAATTCGAAATAATTGGTGCATATTTTAATCTGTTTTACTAGTGTATTGCTATGAATATTGAAATATGCTTTTGAACTCACTCTAGCATTCTTGTGAAAAAGATTGGCTGCATCTGAATACAATTAATATTTAATTTTGATGAATAGGCATAAATCATTAGAATACAAAATCACTTATAAGATTAGATAAAAATAAGAGAATATAAAAAAGAAAGTTATACTTAATTGTTAAATAAAACTTGATTACATGTTTTCTCCTTGAATGATGTTTAAAATTAACTACTATGACTGCCAATTACTTCTATTACCATTTTTTTTTCGTTTATGAATAAATAAGTAGCAGTCTCAGTATATATTTATTTTTAAAAACTGAGAATAAAGCAGTGGTTTCGATAATTTTCATCTAGGTGGGTAAATGTCGCCAAATAGGTGATTTTTAAAAAAGTTTAATAGCTTTTAAAACATTTAAGTTATTTTTCTGTTCTAAAACCCGGTTAAATCTTCTCGGCAAGTTTAAAATCATCGCATTGCTTCAAGCGTATTCCTACCAAAAGATAAATTTTCTCAGATTGCTCTTTGAAAGTTATCACATGTGTTTAGACAACTTCTACCTCAAAATTATTTTTTTGGTGCCATATCATGTAAGATCAGTAAAGTTGAAAGGCGTAACAAAATCAATGTATGATGTATAAGTTAAAAAAGAATTAAAAAATTGCAGTCATATCCATAGAAATAGAATCCAATAGAAATCTCAATTTTTATTAAAATATGTAATTTATGAATCCTTCTCCATTTTTCTGATTTTTTTCAATTTTTGTAACGAAAATTTTCCGTAAATCCTCATATGATAACATTAAAAAGGCATAAAAATGATATTAGTGTTGAAAATCTCAATGCCAAATAACCTGCTGAAATATTTAGTTAATCAATTTTTGTGATACTTCTTTTCACAAAATTACCAAAATGATTATCAATCAAATTGTTCAGGAGGGCTTTCAAGTGTTCTATTTATGCACGCCTAAGAAAAATACTCATATCTTGCCAAACTTGAACAGTGCATTTTTCGTTTCAGTTATAAAATACTCTAACTTCTGCTGAATTTCTCATCTTCTATTTTTTTATCACAAACCACTTTACCCTTAATAAATCACAATGAAAAATCTAGTTAGCTAACATCTGACCTCCATTCTTTTCAATCCATGGATTTTATGCTTTATTTGATTAGTTATTATACATTTTTAAAAGTTTACAATAAAAAATTTACGTAGGTGTAGTTATTTTGAACCATTCTAAGATACATAATACAAAATAGGATAATGAATAAAAAAAGGAAAAACCCGAATCTGAGAAAGAATCCAGAGTCAGCAAAACACAATTCGAAAACTATAAGATAATTAGTTTGCCACATCATTTTAATATTTATCAAGTAGGTAAGTAAACTTTATTAGGTTATTTAACTTCTAATTAATTTAAAAATTGGTCTGTATCAGCAAAATTGATTGGCATCAATTTTTAAATTGAATTGATTTAAAATCTCTTATTAGAGTGAGGAGGTGGCGGGTTCGATATCCCGCCATAACCCTGGATGTATTCTTAATGATGTCTTTCTCTGTATTGACCTGTTCTTCTACTTGACAAAGGTTTATAAGCCTTAATTGAACACACAAGCCTGCAAATGCATGTTGTACCAACAAACCTAAACCTAGAGTGAGGAAAGACAACTTTTGTAATTGATTACATTTAAATTTCCTGTCATTAGCATGTAGTCCGTCATTCATTACAATCTTTTTAAAATATTAGCGTTTAAACCCTCACCACGCTGTGGTCAGACTAACAGGCCAATAGATTATATAAACAAAATATACATAAATAAACAAATTTTTTTGTTAAGCTGCTTCTCTGACTATTTGTCAATTTACAATAAAATTAGAGTTTAATGCAATCCAACATAAAAGCATATTGCGCCTTAAAAAGTAATCACTCTATCACTTCATTTTCAGTTGTTAATTTTCACAGAAATGAAATCAAAGTGAAGAAACAACAATTGTTCAGTTATAAAATTAATTTATTATTAATTCAAAACTTTAATTTAACTGTTTATTGAACATATTAAATGTATAGAATGTTTTGGATTGATTTTAATAAATAAAATAATAATGTAAAAATAAAACTTTAAACACTAGGTTTTTCAAGTGAGCAAAAAATAAGAAATAATTCGGTTTTGACACTCCTAAAAAAACACGTTGGACGCATCACTTTTTAAAGACAGTGTGGGAAAAATCCTATCACCAACTTAAATTTCGCTCTTTCTCTAGAAAGTGATGCGCCTACATTTTTCGTTTTAGGTGTGACAAAAGAATTTTTTTCCTCTCTTTAGTCCACTTAAAAAATAGTTTTTAAAATTTTTTATTTTACATCATTTTATTTTTTCTAGTTCTGGACCTGTTTTTGTTGGAAAAGGGTCAAAATTTCGAGGTTTTGTTTAACGAAAACTCTCTTTAGTTTAAATGACGATAATCTTAGTTTTCCGTTGTACGGAAGCAATCATAATTTGCTTTGCTAATAGAATGTACCTCGGTTACTTGAAAAGTGATCAAAATATTTATTGGTGAAACATCTATAACATCTATAAGAGGTTATAAATTCTGTTAATTATCATTGAGACCCACAGTAAAAATATTCTATTTTTACTTAATTTTAGTAAAAATTTAAAAAGCATATAAGAAGACATAAAGGAACACATTACAGAAAGTTTGGATAAAAAATTAGCTTATATTTCAAAGAATTAAAATGAAGAAAAAAAAGTAGCTAGTTAGTCAGGAAATTTTTTTAAAAAATAAAGCACCAGAATTGTTGAAATTATTTTACTTTGGTTCTAAGATCACAAATTAGCGTTGAAAACCTTTTAAAAAGTTAACTAAACAATGTTGATTTGCAATAGATCTTCTGCAAAAAGCATTAAATTTAGAAGTTATATAAATTTATTTGTTTTTGAAACTTAATCTTTAATTTCTGAAAAATATTTTTCTTTTATTTATGTTGATATTCTTAATAACATTTAAGATGCTTCAAAATCTTTAAAGTGCTTATGACCTCTAATCTGGCTCTGGCTATAGTATGCCTGTTTTCGTGGCATTATTTATGAATAAATACAGAAATTTATTAATTTTAAAAGAACATTCATGTAATAAAATTTGTAAAGTTAAACAGAAGGAGATTTACTGGGCACATTTGTTATTCAGATACAACAGGCAAAATACATAACATATGCAAACGCTATCCAATTGGCAGTAGAGCTAGAGGGCACTCTTTGATGACTGGACTCCATTAACTTAAATATAAAACAATCAGGGTATTGAACTGGCAAGACCTGACATCAACTTGGATTTTAAGACAATCAGGGTGTTTAACGTAAGCTAGGGAAACAATGAGAACGGCATGGAGAAATGTTCTAGAAAATCCCAAGGCCCACCCTAGGCTGTGGAACCAACAATGATGATAATGTATACTTTATTCACACACCAATAATTCAAACACATGTGTAAATATTATGTACACATGGGTTTGAATTACTTTTTTCTGATGATAGGTAAAATGGTTTTTTGTAAATTTAAAAATCAAGATTACATAAATTAAAAATATAAATATTGCTTCCACTAAGTAAGTTTCTTTCTGATGATCCTACAAGTTCGTAGCTAGAAATTAATAAAACAAGGGTAAAAAGCTTGCATTGTAGAGGAGGGAACATATTTCGTGGTCAACAACATTTTCATTAAAATAATTCTTTATTTTATTAAGAGGAAAGATATAAAAAAAAAAAAAAAGATCATGATTCTAAAGAATAGATGAAAAATTGCCTGTTTTTTATTTCAACTAACTGATGAAACAATAAAATAAATTTTCTTCCAAAATTTCCAAAATTGCTTACATATGGCATCCTAGAAATCTCCATAATATGCTTTACTCGTGAATTAAGCTTTTACATGAGCACAAAATTTGAGTACCAAATAGTTATATTATATTTAAAATAAAGAGCTCATCCACTTAACTCAAATCTACAAAATACATTTATTAATTTATAAATTTGCTGTACATTATATACAAAAAATAATAATACAAATTGCGCTTGTGCTTTACAAGCTTGTCATCTATTCTGTGGACATTTTTTCCTAGTATGACCTGTAATGAATAAAATTAAATTAAACAATTTAAAATTTTACAAAGATTTAAAATAATACAACATTTTTGTAATCATTTTTTAACTGTTAAAACTCAATTCAGTTTGATTTGACACTAGTGCATTTCTGATGAACAAATTTTTTTTCAAAAAAAGAAAAAATGCTTAACAGAAAGAAATTTTCAAGGATCCCTAACTAAATGTAAATGAAGTGTCTTTTAAGTTAATTAACTTCTTCGGTTGATACCCTGAGTACGTTTGAGCATGTCATCTCCAATTATCAAAAATCAAATTCGTAAAATTAATAATATTTACCTTTTAGATAAACTCATATTCTTAGATCATTAACGATACAAAGTTAATTAAAATAGAAACTAATAATAATATCTACATGGATAAAAAATATTTTACCACATTTTCCCATTAAAACAAAGGTAAATTCTGATTCTAATTTTTACTTAAAAAATTAGTACATATATACAGTGAGTGTGCTAATCTGAAAGTGAAATTCAAAAAAGAATATTAGGAATAGATAAAAATATTTTAGGAATTACTCTAAAAATTATAGGAAGCAAAAATGTCACATAGAAATGTAATGTATAAGATAAAAAATATTGTAATGCTTGAAGTATATATATAAAGCATGTTTAGACATTCATAAAGTTATTTCATCAAAAAAATCTCTGTTGCTTAGAACTAGACAAAATTTTATTGCAAAATAGCAAAAATTCAAAGGTTAAAATTGCAATAGGTTTAAAACAAAACCTGAAAATTCTATTTTATAAAAATTAAATTTAAAAAATATGTGTGCATAATAAATAAATAGATTCACTAGAGCGAATTTGCAACAGATTACAGTTCATGAAAATTAGCTTCTGTAATAATAATATTTAAAAAGAAGTATTTACTTTAAATTTTTTTGAAAAAAACTAATTTGGTCTAATATCCAAAATTTGTATTCCTAAGAAAACAATTTTCAAACAATATCAAATAATTACAGTAGTAAAAGCGTTGTCAAATAATTTTCAATAAAAATACAATTTTTTAAATTACCAATGTTCAAAAACCTGATTTAATTAAAATGAATAGATAAATAACAAGATAAAGTAGTAAATAAACCTTGATTTGGTGATGAAAATCATTTTTAACAAGAAACAATCGATATCATACATTTTACAACATTTTAATTGAGATACATAATTGGTGATTTGTTTATAGCATCAATCAAGAAGAGATGTTTTATAGTATTGGAGATATTTCAGTAAAGTTTGATCAAAATATCACTTTAAGGCATTTTTTATTTTAATAAGTTTGTAAAATATATTTGTAGATAAAACAGTGGACAGTAATCTAGTCATCCGAATAGACAATCTGTGACAGGTTGCTATTATTTTTGTTATTTTAAAATAAATCAAGATAATCTTGAACAAAATCCAATCTGTTAGGAAATACTACGAATTAATATTTGGGTCCCTCCACAGGTGTTTTTAGGATTATATGTAACATATAGGATACTTCTCAGCTAAATTTTGACATTTTTGTATTTTTTTCACAATAAAAATGTAGATAAAATAAATATAACTATTTTTATATTTAAGTTATGAAATATTTTTCCAGCAATAGTATTGTCAAATTTATTTTTATTTTAAAGAATAGCATAATTTTAGTAAGAAAACACAAATACAGCTAAGTTTGTACATTTTCAGCAGCACAATTTGCTTAGTTACAAAAAAGATAATGAAAAAGCTTGGTTTTAATTACAATAAATGTGGTAACAAAATCAGGAAGTAAAATAAAAATGCTAACAAAAATCAGAATGTAAAATAAAAATGTTGAAGAAAATCAAAAGTACAAAAGAAACTATTTTAATAGTATACATTTTTGGCAATTTATTTTATTTTTGTAATATAATTAGTTCTTATAAGTTTTATTTATATTTTATTTTTACATTAATAATATTTTTGATATACAGGCTTAAAAAAAATTAAAGCTCTATAGCTTAATGTTTATTGTTATTTTATACAGTACTTTTCACAAAAAAATTCTTCTATTACCACTACATTTCGTTAATTTAAAAATAAAATTCAAAATAAATAAGAAAATAAGGTACTAGATAGAAAAAAGACATAACATATTATAAAAACATTTTTATATTCTATTTCAAAATCTGAACATTAAAATTAAATCGAATCTGTTAAAAAATATACAGTTCAAAATAAGAACACCTAAATTGAAAAATCAGTCAGAAGTATGTTGAAGGCAAAGCCATACTCAAAGAGCGGGAAATAAGGATGATTGTTTAAGGGTCTGGCCAAATTTCCTTACAAAAAATGTTTTTTTTCTTTAGTTTTTTTTAAAAAAAAGAATTCCTTTATGTTTATCTCTTTAGAATTCCTTTATGTTTATATATAAATTACAATTTTGAATAAATGGTATTCAAACAAAATAAGTCTTTTTGTGCTTTGAGGAAAGGGGCCACAATAAAATTTGCTCTGGGGCCTGTAAAACCTGAATCCAGCCTTGACTGAAGGAGCATTATGCAACATATACACAGTAACAGATGTGTAACTATTTAAAAAGTTAATTCAAATGAATAATTTAAAGAAATTAATATTTGTCAAACTTACCAGGCTGAGAACATATACCACATTTTCTCTGTTTAGATGGCCCACCAGAGGCAGAACTTGCAGGTCTTTTATTTGAGGGACCAGCCCTTGACCTATCAAATGCTTAAAGCAAAATGCATAATTAAAATAGATTTTTATGAAATATATCACAATAAGGTAAATTTTACATGATTATGCACTTTATCGTTTCATTCATAAAATTTTAAATACATTAAAATATACAATGAAAAGGCAAAGTATTCTGAAAATAAATGTGAAATATAAAATATACATTTTAATCAAGCACTTAATTCATTAAAAAAAGCAAAGCAATTACTAACAAAAAAATTGAATGTTATTTAAAATATATATAAAATTGAAATGCAGATGTTAACATTCGGATATAGAAGTTCATAAAAAACTGCAATCTGAAAAAAGTTATAACACAGCTGCAAAGTGTAAATAATTTATGTTCCACGACATGGAGCTCATTCTGAATTTCTTCAACTTTTGAAATGTAAACAATTGTTTGACAGTCGACTTTTTGATTGATCCTATTTATAGATTGCGTGTCTTGTCATCATTTAATAATAATTCTTTTTTAATGTTTTAAATAATTCTTTCAAAAAAGCAAATTTCAATAAAAAAGTTAAAATTTTAAAGAATAAAAAAATACAATTCAATATTTCTAGAAACCTAGGGAACATTCCTACAGAATTTGGTTTGATCATTCTGTTTAAAATGCTCCAATCAAATTCTCAATTTCTAAATGTATATTTCATATGAATTTTTATTTTGATGAAAAAAATACAATAAAAAGTGTAAAAAAACTATAGTGTTGGAAAATATTTTGTATTAAAATGAAAAGCTTGTTTACATTTAATTTTAACAAATAATAACATTATAGATAATAACAATTATGAATAATAACATTTTAATTCAACAGAAAATAATTTGATCATAACTAAAAGAGAAGGATGGAATGTCTCTATTCTTCTTTTAAACATTAAAACTTTTAATCTGTTTTTGAAAAGCATGTCAAAACATCTTGAAATGAGCTCAAAAACTCAAATCAGGGAATTCACCCAACAAATTAAAGAAAATATGGTCTGAAAATCCATGTGAAATTATATATATTATAATTGTTAGATCTTTAACTGAAGTTTACCTTTGGTTAGTTTCATTTCCCTTTTGCCAAAAATTTGGTAGAAATAACTTTTATAGTAATAATTTGAAAAGCATTTGTATACTGATTTGCAGGTATATAAAAGTAAATTAATAAAAAAATGAACTTCAATAAAATATAGAAAATTAAAATAAGAACAATGTAATATTTTTTTAAAATATACTTTCTTACAAATTTAATTAGAATTCAGTAAATTTCATACATAAACAATTAATGTTTTCTGAATTCAGTTCAGACATTTCTTTATAAATTTCGTTTTCATACTGTTATCATATAGCAGAGAATAAATAAAATTCATTTTTTATTTAAAAAAACATATTAAAAATGCAATTATAGAATGAACACTAAGAAGAATTTTTATGCATGGCCAGATTCAAAAAATAATTTTAATTCAATAATTAAAAATTAAAATTTTTTTACCTCCTGAATTAGCATTAGAAAAACGACCATTAGTATTTGTGTCATTCTCATCCATCCATTGAAAGAATCCACATTCACCTGATCCACGTGGTTTAGGACAAGCGTAAAATTGCCGGCCTTGATTGGCTCCCTCTTTTCTCACTGTCAATCTGAAAAATGCATTAAATAATAATATGTTTGAAGTAAAATAAAGAAATATATATATAAAGATGACATAATTCTTATTTTACATGAATTCTGTTCAGACTTTTCACTGCACAACTTTTGTTTGATGCTTCTTTTCATAGCTTTAATTAGCTATAAATTATTTAAAACAATTATGTCATATTTCATGATACAAAATCAGTTGGATTGATTTTCATTTAATCAATTTTTTGAATATCATTGCTGCCAAAAATTTGCCAATAATAAGATTTAAAAAATAATTTTAAAATAAAAAATTATGTTTTTTATTTTTATACATTTGAAGAAATTTACAAATTATTAATCTTTAAAAATGAATTTTCAGTTTTAAATGCTTAAGAATATTGCTACATTGAATAACATTTATCCTCCAATATTGTTCCTGAATACATTTTCGTAATGTAGTACAACATGCCCATGTGGCTGACTAAGTTACCCTAACCTTCGGAAAGGTTTGTTAACTCTTTAAGATTTTTTTAAAAAATATTATTGTAAAAAAAATTACCAACTGAGCATTTTGATTATTCTTTATAATTTTCAATTATATTTTATGATTTTTGATTAAGCATTATCAATACTAAAAAGCATCATAGTCACTTACAACTTAGCTTCCAATTGACACCTGCATTGTTGCACACCTCCTGATGTTGAGTTTTCATTTGAGAAAGATGTAGATGGTTGCCTATAAAACAAAAATGAAATGTTCCTCACATTATTAAACATGATACAAGTCACATGACCAAAATCTATAAACAAAATAAAATACAATACTCTCTAAAAACTGCAATTTTAAAATATAATTTGCACCTCTCCATATAATTTGCACTGATTTTGACTGTAAACAAACAAAATAAAAGGTTTAAGTTAAATTTTAGAAGCTAATATAATGCTCAAAAATTTTGTAGTTAAAGAGCATTCAGCATTGCAATACATTTTTAAACATTATTTTATTTTTAGTTTATAAAAGTCAAGAAGCTCTCATAAGTTAATGTCTGTGAAAGAGCCTATCCACTTAATTTTTTTACAAATTGTAATAGATTCAAAGAAAACTAGAAAAAAGATTAAAAAAATTTAATAATTAAATATAAATTATTATAAATTAAACTTAATATTTTTCAGTTTTTCTTTTAATATGTTAACCTTTATATACTCGATGCTTGATTTAATGACCCTTTTGGTCCAATTTAAAATAAACATTACATCCCTATATGGGTAAGGTTGCTATATCGTGACTACATAAAATTAGTGCAAATATTAACTTATATTTCCCAAATACTGGATTTATTTTGGCAAAAACATGTTACACTTTAAATATATTTAAGAAACTAACTAATATGCATTTTTTTATGTTAATATAGAGCAATTATTACTTAATATAATATTTTGAAGGTTTAAAATAGATTTACATTTTTTCAAATGACATCTTTTAACACTGCACAGAAACTTTAGTCAATCATTCAGTGCATTTTCCAGATATCAAAATATTGCTTCACAAAAACGACGTTCTAGTGAAGAAAAATTAATTAGAACACTTTGTTCTTCTGACCACCTCTTACAATACTTAAAAAAGAGTGAATGATTATACAGAATGAATATTTTATGAATATATTGAATCCTTTTAAAAGAAATTTCGAAAGGTCATGATTGAACATGAAACTCTGATTTCTAAACAATAGTGAAATATACATTTGAAGTTCTTAATAGTGGTCAGTGCACTGTGAAAGCAGAAACAAATAAAAGATCTAAGGAGTGTAAAGTAGCTAGTCCCAAGCTCATACTAGCCAATCTTCAAGAAAAAATAATCTAGAAGATTTTTAAAAATATCCAGAAGATTTCACACATGAACATGGGGAATTGTGAACATCATTTTCTTAAAGGGAAAAGTCACCATTTATCAAAATCAAATACAAAAATAAATGTACTTCCTTTAATAGGTCTAAATAACTTAGTAATGAAACCAATATACTAGAAAGCAAAACAAAATCTTTGAGATTAACCAAAAATACATAAGCATTTAGAGATAGAATGTTAAAATTTAGCATACAATTATTAAAATAGAAAAATATGCAAAATTTGCCATTTTTCTAAAAATAGGAAAAAATTCTTAAAAATGGTTTATGCACATAAAATCATAAAAACTAAAAGAAGGCTTCTTGTAACAATTATAAAAAAATTTTAAAGTAAGCAAGCTCTGCAGATTTTAAAAAGTCTACTATAATTGATTAATAAACTGTGGTTCTCTTATATGTTAAAAATAAATAATGCAACTCGCAACTTAAATTTCTGATCAAATAACTATAATTATATAATACTTCATATGAATATTATATTTATACTTTTTTAAATATTATGTATTTATTAAATACTTTCTTTTCATAATTAGCTTTTATATTTAATTATTATGTACTACTCATATAATGAGTTAAATGGTTCAGCTATTTATAAATTTTTTAAAAAAAATTTAGTTTTATCTATAGAGATTAATTATATAAAGTATTTTGCATAATTTCTGCAATTACTATTAAGTTTATTTTTCTTCTTTTTTAAAAAAAAAAATAATAAAGTCAGGAGAATAACCATGAATATCTTGCAACTATTTTTCTAGAGTGAAAAATTGGACAGATCAAATGAAGAAACAAATTTCGTTGAACTATCAGTTTTTATTAAAAGAAAGAGAACTATTAATATACAAATCCTTATATTTACAAAAAAATAAAATAGTTTTTTTCTTACCAGGGATTATTTGATACCCTTAAAGGTACATTGTTTACAGTTGCAGGTGAATAATTATTCTGATGAATTGACGATGATGCAGTCTGATTGATAGGAGAATTAGCATCATCTTTCCAAAGAAAAAAGCCACACTTTGAATCTTGAGGCTTAGGGCATGTATAAAACTCTCTACCTGAAAGGGAGAGAAAATTTGTCGGTTTAAACTTTAAAAAAAAGTAGTTATAATTTCATTGCAATGACTACACCTACCCTTATTGGGACCATCTTTCTTCACCCTATAAATGATGGCATCTGTGCCACAATTACAGACAACATCCTGACTAGGTAAATTAGAAGTATTGTTATTTGAGGGGACAGGGCTGAAAAGACAAAAAGAAATCTGGTTATCAATTTCCTTACGTACTCTGATACATTAGGACAATAAATAATAATAATTAAAAAAAGTACCACTTACTACTAAGTTTATAAGTATATATGAAATGAAAAGAACCATTTTATCAAGTAACCATGCGAAAAATAATGAATTGATTTTCTTACTGAAAAGGTTGCCGAGATGATTGATGACTAGACAAAAATGAAGAACTTGGTACTGCTCTTGAGGAATTAGTAGAGCTTGGCACTGCTCTTGAGGAATTAGAAGAGCTTGGTGCTGCTCTTGAGGAATTAGTAGAGCTAGGAGCTGCTCTTGAGGAATTTATAGAACTTTGCAATGTTCTAGATAAACCAGAAGAATTAGAATTGCTTCGGTTGTTATTCGATATTCGATTTGCAGATTCATATCCACTATCAGAACTGAGATTTCTAGACACATTCGTGGAGGAGGTATTAGAATCTATAAAAATTTATAAATATTTTAGATTGCATTCTTTTAGACAAGTTTTATTAAAAGTACATAAATAGAACTAATTTTAAGAAAAAAAGCACCTAATTAACTAATAAAGTATTTATAGTAGAATAAAAGTTTTGTTATCCTTGTTATTTTTATTATTGAATATGGAATGCCTTATTCCGTTGTCTAAATATTATTGAAAGTTAGAGGAACTAGATATGACTTTTGAGATTGAGTGATTTTTTGGAACAGGGGTGAAAAATGAGGAAAGACACAATTCTATTTCCCAACACAATTATTAAGAAAAATAATGTAACTCAACTAGAATGACAGGCCTTACAAATAGAATCTAATACAAAATGATAACAGGTTGAAAGAAAGAATCAATGGAAATATTACTTCTGGTAACTGTTATAGGATGAGCACCCATAGTCATCATTAGATCTGAATCACAGCCAGCTAAACAGCTATCAAACCTAATATAAAATAAAATTCATCAATATTTAAACGATACAAATATTTAAAAATAAGGAATAGATACTTAATGGATTTTTAAGAACCCATCATTAAGGATCAATTGTGCTATAATTTTTGAAGTAATGCTAACAAAAAGTTCCCCCTATTAATTTCATTAAATTCAATTAAATTTTTATAAAGATCAGGAAAAGGCTAAAGATATTTACAAAAATAAAACTAGCTGTTGAATAACAATTGGGAAAGTAAAACTATTAAAAATTTATTTTTCTTAGTAGAAAAATCAAATTACTCATTTATAAAACATGAATTTAGGTCTATTCTCATATACTGCTGAAACGTGAGCACTGACTGAGAAAAAAAAACTCTTGCCATATTTGAAAGAAGAATTTTGTGGAGCATATTTTCAGGGATTAATGTAAAAATTAGGTATCAGAGAAAGAGAACCATTTTTGTAATATACAAATTATATTAAGAACCAGACCTTATTAAAATTTAAGCAATTCAGATAATATCACATTAATATATTACATAAGTTTATTATTATCTCGGGCAACAAGCATTTATAAGAAAAGAAAGTCATTGTAACTTATACAGCTGCTATAACCCTCCAAATTAAGTTAATTATAAAAAATTAGGTAAAAATTACTTCAAAACTTGTCTGGTTTATTTTAAACAGTTTTTCACGATATAAAAAACTTAAAAAGATAAAACAGTTCGCCCCAAATAGCTTAAAAATCAATGTAGAAAGTTTAAATGATTTTACTCTAAATCTTTTTCGAAAAATCTTTTATAAACATACAAAAAGAAAAAAAAAAGACAATTTAATAAAAATCATAAAAACACATCAGAATATAATTTTTAAGTAAACTTACTCATCAGGGTAAAAAGGTCTCATGGAACCAGCCTTGAATTTCATTTTTACTTTTTTCACCCTCCTGGGAAGACACTAAAAATTGTCATGTGGTAAATTAGAAAATTTCAAGAGTAAATAAATAAATAAACAGTTTGTATAAAAGGAAAAAGTAAAAATTAATGTTGTACTGAAAAACAGAATTCTTTCACAAACTAAATTGTTCATATCATTACAATGAACTAAAAATAGAATTTCAAAGATACACATATTAGTAAACACAGTTTGCATTTTAAATGTAACATCATAAAAAAGGTGGCATAAACTGAAGTTTGTAGCAATGACATGAACAGTTCAAATACTAGAAGTAGCACAGGCTGGTATAATGAAGTGGGGAAGGTTTTGCATATAGAAAAAGTTATCAATTTCAGCTAATTAGATTTAAAAAAGATATAATGTTAGAAAAAAAACTGCAGGAAATATGAGTCAACTCATAGTTTGTATCATCAGGGATCTGTCTAAGTTTTCTGACAGGTATCTATTTAGTGAAAATTTAGACATAATTTTTGAAAATTAAAAATTATACTAAAAAATGAACACAAAAATATGGATTTATCGTTTTTTATGGGATACAAAGATAAAATTTTAAGAAAAAGTATTTTGTGAAATTCCTAAAGTTGAATTTGTGAAGGTACCGCTAAACGGTAGTAAATTTGGCCTGGACAGACCCCTGATCATAATAGCAAAATTTACTGCATTGATCAACATCACAATCTTCATTAATCCAATTTGTCCGCAACACTAATATAGAAACTAAAACTCGAGGGACAAGGTAGCCCCCCCCCCATGAAGGGCCATGGACTACTGCGCTCATTCCAGTTTCCTTAACCTTGGGCTCTGGGGTGCAGGAGCTGCTGTTCTAGTATGGTGGTCAGAAAAATGTAAAATTCCCGAACATGCTTGGTGCTCATTTTAATGCCAACTAAAGAGATGAAAGAGTCAACCTTGTCCGAGAATAGAACTTAGGCCCTGTGGCACAAGAGCGTGAAGCTTTACTTCTGTGCTGAGTGGTCAGAGACTATCATTGTAAATATCAATTATAATTTAATAATAGCAAAATGTATTTATATAAAGGCATATAAAAATTATTATGAAAAAATAATGCTGCAAGGAACTTATGTTAGTTAGTATTTTTTATATAAAATAGTTTCAAAAAGTATAATAATGATTCATATAGATGAATCATTTAAATTAATTAAAGAAAATTATTTAGAATTTTTTTAAAATCATTAGTTTTCTTAAACTCATATAGTTATCTACGGATTTTATAAAGGAACAAATTTTATCAACAAACAGGCAAACAAATTTAATAAAGGAACTGAAACCGATAGTAAGTGAGTAAATTTAAGAACTAAGATTGATTTTTTTGGTTTTCCTTTCATAAATTTTTTAGTGATAAAAAAATTTTTGAGATGAAAAATAATATTCAGATATTGTGATCATTAGCAACACCTGCAACCATGTTGCAGGGTTTCTGCTATCAGATTTTGCAATTAATAAAAATAATCGCCCCTTGTAATATCAGTGTAAACTAGAACTCTAAGCACTGGTTTTAGAAATTCATCAAATAATAAATACCTACCGAGTAAAAAAAATTAAAAGTCAAAAAATAAATATATAGCTAGTTATTTCAAATTAAAGAAAATATAAGGTAATATTACTCACATCAGGACATTCAGCATCCAGAACTGAAATCTGTTCTAAACTATCAGGTAGCCACATAACTGCATTGCAATCAGGGTAGGACATACAAGATAGAAAGAACCTTTAAAAAAAAATTCATTGCATTAATACTTTTTTTAAATTTATATGTTACTGCTAAAGCTCAAAATCCATTAATATGCATACTACCTTGCTAATCTGCATATTAACTAGTGCAATCTGTTAAAGTGCTAAAACAGGGGATTTCTGCAATTTATTTAGGTAATGTCCTATTTAAATGTTTTGAAATGATGCTTCTGTTTATCTAATGGCATAGTAGTTAAAGTATTAGGAAGATGTGGGTTAACGTTCTCTGTACCATTTAAGATTAAAAGTTTGTTTCTGTCATTCGTCAATAATTTTTTTTTTGTATTGATTGATTTGATTCTTCAGATATTGAAAAATAATTAAGCTATATATTTAGTTAATTTCCTGAATTTTAATAATATTTTGAACCGTTTGGTTTTTTTTATAACAGTTTTTGAAGCAATAGGTATAAGCATTTCTAATAGTTGTTAAAGAGAAAAAAAATCTGAATAACAAATTGTAGCAATTTTTGCATCTATATATTTTTTCTTTCTTTTGTTTGTAGCAAATGAAACTTATTTTAATTGAAATCCATACTGTATCACTTAAAATAACAGACAGGCAGAAGAAGAAAAATCAATTACCCTCTATTGTCTCTTTTTGTCCGTAAAACAATATCACCAGTTTGACACTTTGGGCATTTCATAACGGGCATAAGTTGTGGTGCGGCAGCATCCTCTAAAAATTCAGATTGTTTTAAAGAACAACATTAAAAAATGATAACACCATTTACCCCATAAGACATTCTTTGAATGATAATTAAAAGTAAGGCACAAAAAAAGAATAAAATTAAAAATTATACATAACAAGGAGCATTTAAATGCCTATTATTGCTATAATAAGAGTTAAATATTTAAGAATATTGCAAAACGATTTTACACACTATCGTTGAATGCATGGAATCATTTGGATATTATTTTTCAAATTTTAAAAGTACTAATAATGACATTTTGTTAAGTCATTTATTAAAAAATAATTATTTAAGCTCCAATAATTTAAAAATAAATAAAAAAACCTTTTGATTCCATTAATTTGATAAATGTTGTAAAACTTAAACAACCTTTGCGTGATTAGTGAATTTATGCTTATTAGAACTTTATTAAACAGAAAAAAAGTCAACATTGTAGTTATTCTATGTCTATTTTTTTATAAAGTAATGGATTAAGTACGCTACTGAAGAAGTACAAAAAGTAGTCAACATGAAATTAAAAGCTTGTTATTTTTCTAGTACTATAGAAACTTTCTGATTCGATACATAGCAACAAAGGCGGTCTATAGAAAAAAAAACAATACGTAAGAAGATAAATTATAGATAAGGGTTACATATTAAATTCCATTTACAAGTTAAAAACAGTTTAATAAACTAATTTACAGAATTCTGAAACATTTACAATTTATTTTTTAAGCTCTAGCTTAAAATAAAATTTTAAAATTAGAAAATGTAATTTTATATCAACTACATTATACTTGAAATAATCAAAAACTTTTATTGTAATAAATAATTTAAAGAGACAAGCATTTATTTTTTAAAAAAAGTAATAAATTTCAAAAATTCTTTTTTAAATGCCTAATAAATTAATGCAAGATATATAATAATAAATAAATTAAAAAGTGAGGGAGAGAATAAATCATTCGAAGTTTTCAACACTAATATGACTGACTACTGTGAAATCTAAAGAAACACACAAATAAAAACTTTGTTTTATTTGTAGAAAATGTAATTTTATATCAACTACATTATACTTGAAATAATCAAAAACTTTTATTGTAATAAATAATTTAAAAAGACAAGCATTTATTTATTAAAAAAAGTAATAAATTTCAAAAATTCTTTTTTAAATGCCAAATAAATTAATGCAAGATATATAATAATAAATAATTTTAAAAAGTGAGGGAGAGAATAAATTATTCAAAGTTTTCAACACTAATATGACTGACTACTGTGAAATCTAAAGAAACGCACAAATAAAAACTATTTTGTTTTGATTAAACCTGTTATAAATTTTTACTACTCACTTATAACAGTTAACACAAGTTAAAATTATTAACTTTAATTTTACATCATTCATGACTATTTGTCTCTTATAGACCAGCATAATAAAATACGCATTTTTGCTCACATACTTTCACTAGTAACTAACAAGTTATGTCAATAAATATGGAAAGAGTAAATAAGTGAGAATCATTCTCAGAAATCTGATAACTTGTAAACGATCTAGATGATAAACTTTAATTCTCCTTTTTCAAATTATGCTTTTGAATGCCTTAATACTATTCTCAGAAAAATATATCTAAAACAGCATCAAAACTAATAAAGAAATTTTTTTATATTACTATTTGAAAAAAATTTACAACAAATAGTAGGAAAATCACTATACAATTTATGAAAAATTATAAAATAAAATTAAAAAACATTACCAACAACTGTATTGTCAGGTGCAACATTGAAATAAGTTGATAAAGCTGAATCAAGTTTAACAGCCTAAAGAGCAACAAAGAATAATATAGAATAAATAGCAAGAGTCAATGCAAGAGCACTATTTTAGAGAATCTAGTGCCTTAATGTTAGTAATACATTATAAATGATTTTAAAAGTTAGATATCTTTCTAATCAGGTGAGTAGAACAATTTATTTTACTTTTTTAATTGCTTAAGTCACATTACAAAGTTATTATTTTATAACATTACTTTGATAGTTAGATTTTATAATATACATTTTATTTTATAACTGGCGTTGAACAGCCGATCCAGTTATGAGTTTACGACCATCAATGCTCAACTCCATAGCCTTGTAATTGTGAACCCAATCCAGAAGACAAGGGAGCCTTTGTATCAAGCAGTGGGGCAAACTAACCTTCATGGAGGATTTTTTGATGGAACTAACCCGCATTTGCATGACATGAAGAGCAAAACCACAAAACCCCTCCATGGTTAGCCCAACGGCAAGAGGATTCTATCCCATGATCTGCCTACCACTGAGGATATTATATGTCAACACTGTGGTCGGTGTGAGTCGGGTGCAGAATTCCTAACAACCAGCCACTGTTGGGATTCGAACCTGAGACACCTCATTGGGAGGTAAACGTTCACAATACAAAAATCAAACTACACACGTAGTTACAAAAATACACAAAAAAAAGTTTTTTTTTTAATAAATTAATTTTTGGCTGAGAAATTATTTTCAATACTATCTCAGTCAAAAAAACAATACAAAACAATATGTAAATATAGATTTTACTGAAATCGACTAAAAGCAATTTAATACAACCTACACTTTTAATGTACATAAAAACTAAAATAGTATTTAAAATAAAAATTAAATTATTAACTCAACCCTGAAACCGAACCTTTACAAAAATGGAAAAAAATAAATATCTAGCTCAAATATTCTAATAAGTGTTATTTTTTTACCTCTTCTCCTATAAAATTATGGTGATGAATTGAGTAAGCTTTAAAACAGTGGGATAAATTTTAAAACACAGTTTTAATACAAAATAGAAGATTTAATGTTATATTTTAATTTTATAACTTAAGGCACATAATGACAGGAAAAAAATCCAGCCTTTTAATTATCAATTTTGTTTTTTTAAGTATTTTGAGACATGTGAATAATGCTCAAAAGTTAAAAGGCATAATTATATGACATGACATTATAAAAGAAATAAATCATATTGTAAATCTTTGAAAAATATAAATGGCAATGTACTGCAAATTGTTAAAAGCAATTTCAGTATTACCTGCTGAACAACTTCGATAAAATACTGTTTATACTTTGCTACTTGTTCTCGTAGTACAACTGTGAAAAAAAATTTAACATAAGAAAAAGGTAAAATAAATTTAAAAATATGAAGCGAGTTTAATGAGTTTCAAAAAAATATATTACCAGCTGGGACTTTAGTACCCTCAACTATCCTGCAGGAAAAAAAAATTAAAAAAAAAAAAGTTTAATACTTTTAACAATAAAACAACAAACAAACAAAATAAAAATCATAAATGGTAAAAATGTCATAAATAGGACAGTTATGATATATACCAAAATGTCTCCAGTCCTTACAAATATTGCCAACATTAAAAGTTAAAAAAAAACTTATGTAAATAAGAAAAAAAGAACAATTACACTTGAATTAAATTTCCAAACTATTCTTAAAATATACTAAAATAGCAACGCTTCAAAATATACAAACTTCTAACAGAATAAAGAAACAAACTTAAATTGTCATAAAATAACAAGTACAAAAATCATAAAATGAAAACAAGTATATTTTGATAAATCAGCAAAGAGCTTACAGTCACTAATTATCATCATAAAATATATAATAGAGGATGCAATATTATCATTCGCATGACTAAGTACAGTTGAATGTTATCATTTGCTGGACAAACTTCAATGTTATATTATCAGTTGCATGAGCGATGTCAAACTTTAAATGTTCATAGTTATATTAAGACTCTTATTTTTAAAATTTTAAAATTATTTTTCTACAATATACAACGAAAAAAAAAATACACACACAAAAGTAATTAAATTCTAAAGAAAAAGGGGAAATAACAAAAATATGTACTATTTCTAACATGGTATTTTTTAAATATTCTTTCAAAATACTTTACACATTTGTGCCTTCATTTTTATGATAGTTTTCTTTTTTCCAAATCAGAAACATTTTAAAAGAGACTAGCTGCAACAGCAAATTTTTTTAGCAAAAAAAAATACATCTTAATTTTTAACTAAATCACCTTTTTAAGTCTGCTTCTAGCTCTGCTCTCAGATGAGGTTTTGACATATGAAGACCCATTAAATCATAACCTAGACAGAGGTCAATCTCTTAATTACGTTTACAGACACATAAAACATATACATTCATCTCAATACATAAACAAATCAATACATAAACAGATCAATGCATAAATGAATACATTCAACTTTTAGTTATGTTCTTAGTAAAATTAACAACAAATAAATGATGCAGTAAGCAGCCAAGCATTATTCAAATAAAAAGCTTTATACTTGATTCTCTCTAACTTTAATATACTTTTTGGAATTAAAAAGCAAAAACTAAAATCATATTCAGTAATTGATATAAATAAAACGTATATTAATAAAAATGTAACGAAAACTAATTTCTATATTGTATATAGTAATTATAAGTATGAATGAAGGAAAAGAAGATCTAACTCTACAAGATCTAGACACCAGTGTTTCTCCATCNTCATAAACCAAGTCTGTGTTTTTAGTAATGTTAAATGCAGTTTTTATTTTATAAATGCCTTTTTTGAACTGTAGTAATTGAAGGTTATGCTTGAGTGTTATAAGGTTGCATTTTTGTTTTAATTAATGTATAAATATTTATTCCCATGTTAGCATTTGGAAATGTGTGAAACTATGTTTTTTGAAGATTTAGAGGTGCAATAAAAATGAGTTTTAAATGTTAAAAGTTTTCTGCAATTCATTAGATATTTGTCTACTAAATAACCTGGGTAACCGTTACTAAATTTAAATTTTGAGATCACAGCCAAAGGGGTAACGGTACAACAGAACCCTGCAGAAAAGGATTAATTGCATTGAAAAAGACCTTAGCATTCTAAATGCTCAAGGTTAAAAACTGAAAAATAAATGCCAAAAGCAAACATTGCTGAAGAAGGGAAAAGAAAGCCAGGGAAAAACCGGGGCGGTTCATCCAATGTTCAAGAAGATATTCATAAGTCATCACATTAATATTTCATTTGAACAATAAATAAATTTTTTTAATGTAACGTAATAATGTAATTACTACAAAACAGACAATTAATATATAAAATATGTAATTTAAAAAAAATAAAATACAAAATTTAAACAAAATAGGTCAAATAGTTAAGTTATAAAATTTCAAAAAAGTTTTATTTTTAAGTTTTCGTTTTTCAGGAGCTATACAACTGAATTTATTTATATTTTGTAAAAACAAATCAGAAGTCTAGAAAATTTGAAAGAAATATTCTGTCACCTTCAACAAGGCCCATTCCAAGTTCTCCTGGTATGAATCGTCCATTTTCATTGACACCTACATACAATCTGGATTTGATTCTCTCTATATGTTCTGCATGGGTAGCATCAGTGCCTTTAAATGAAAGCATAATGAATTGAATTTTAAAGATTACTAATATTTCTAATAACAAAAATCTGTAATTATCATAATAATAATAAGAAGAAATGGAGGTGCAAAAAATAATTAAGACAGACTCCACCTGATTTCTATTTAAAAAAATAAAAATAAAAACTTTTATTTTTTGTAAACATAGAAAAATGTTAACATTAAGAATACTATAGAATATATAGAATAGAATATTATAGATCACATTAAAATTTTATACACCCTAAAAACAACAAAAATGTCAAACTTACAAAAACAACAAAAAATAATTTAAAAAAAATTAAATTTGGTTTAGAGCTACTGTCATTATTCTTAGCACCATAATTTTTATAACCATTTATAATTTATTTCTTTTACTTTAATAATTCTTCAAGATATATTGCAATATTTTAATTTTTGTTCCAGATCCATTGCAAAATTATTCAGCATTATATTTTAAATGCTAATTATTTTCTGGCCTACATTATCAGAGTACTTTAAACTTTAATTAGCATAATAGAGTGTAAATTAAACAAATTGAAATACCACAATACCCATATGTCAGAGTAAGTTGCAGTTCAGACAGCAAAACCAATATTTAAATATACAGATAATATCAATATCTATAAGCCAACTATACCAACATTAAATATACTTTATGTAAATTTTGAATTATTTTTTTGTAACAACAATTTCGTTAGATATGCAAATTCTTAGACAGATTTTTTTTCTTTCTAAAAAATTATTACTCAAATTGTTTATGTTTATTGAAATTATAAAAATAAAACATTATTATCACATTCATTTATTTATTTTTTCTTTTAAAGTTTTTTAGCACTCAATTTTGATTGAGTGCTAAATAAATAAATCAGTGCTAAATAAATAATTAAATAAATCAAATTATTAAAGGCAATGTACTTACCTATACCATGTTTCTCCATCAATCCAATTAGATCTGCTTCTGTTAATAAATCAGGTGCAGATGTTTCACCTTCATTCATCTATCAATGAAATGATATGGTGCATATTAACATAGTTCATTAGTAGCTACATAAATTTCAACAGAATCTATAGTACTTGAAGCAAGAGATTAAATGACACAGTTACATTTCAAACATATACAAATATATACATTTGAAACATACATTTTTTTTTAAATTATCAATATGAGAGAATTCTGGAAAAAAAATAATAAAAAACAAGTCTCATACCTCAATTGATGATGGTCGGAATACTTCATTCAATGCATATTCACCAATTATCTGATAGAAAAAAAAAATACAAAAATTTCATTTTTTTGGGCAGATAGAGTAATTTTATTTTTATAAGTACCTATGTTTGCAGCAATTCCTTTTTTCTTTAAATAAAAAATTAAAAATAAAAATATCTATCCATTGATAAAGCTTGGTTAAACATATAATATAAGGAAAAAAAACTAAAAGATAATTAGAATTAAAAAAAATTAAAGAGAAATAATAAAATAAAAAATAAAAATTAAAGAGAAATTTTAGCTTAACACACAATATGTTGTATAAATCTAAAATAGAAGGAATGAAAGAAAAGCAATTTTCAAAGTGACACTTTGTCTATCTTTTTTGTTTGAGGAAAGAGCAGTAATTTCAGAAACATCAGAATTAAAAAATATAGTAACATCGAAAATTTCATTAACAAACATTTTCCTTGTTAAAACTATTTCAACTTAATAGAAAAAATTATGTTCAAAAAAATTATGTTCTCAGCTGTCAATTGGCATCTACGCTTTTCAATTATCAGTACCCAAGTTTAAATAATTTTTCTGAAGTCACTTTTGTCCATGTAGAAATGCAATATCATTTACAATAATATTTTTTTTAACAATAATAGAATATTTTATTTATAGGACAGTGTTTCCAATTCTTTTTTCCCTTTCATAGATTATGGAACTTTTCCTTAAGGAGCACTCAAAGCCTCCATAAATGTATAAAGATAATGTAGTCGAGCCAGAGCTAGTAATTAAAGCAGGCTAGTAATAGGCCAGAGCAAGTAACACAACTTAATTGTCATATTGGTATATAATAGAGAGAGAGAGCATCAAAATCACACTAAAATCACTACCCTCCACATTTTATGTTAAGTCAACTAATTCTGATCACATACATTACAAAGTATAATTTATAATATATATATATATATATATATAAATACAAGAAAACACGAAGAAAGTTAAGAAAAACAATAAGTTATTTCATTCTCTGTTGTTACATGTTATTTTTACTTTTTGTGTTCTATTTTATTTGTTGTAATTTTTGTAAAAAAAATCATGAGTGCTCCTCACACTATTGTATTAATATATTTTGCTTTGGCTTTATTGATACAATATCAAAAGGCACTCTGTTTTGCGGATATAATCGTGTGGGCTGATGAAAAGATTATATCTTTTTTTTCCCGGTTTTTTTTTTCCGGTTTTTTAAATAAAATTTC